GGGGGGAAGTGCCTTGTGAGAAACGAAGCACCAGGGGAGAGGGGTAGGGGGGGGGAAAGTTTCGTAAGAAGCGGAAACCGGGGGGCCAAGAGTCGGACAGGCAGCCGCGCTTTAAAATGCGTGCAATCAATCTTACAGATTTGAGCACACGATTTGGAGTTGGGGTGCGGGGGGGTGGGGGGGAGGCGGGGAAGAGGGCACGAGTTGAAGGGGGTGCGAAGAGAAAGAGGGAGGAGAGGGGAGGGAGAGGAAAGACTCGCATGGGGAGGAGCTTCGTAGAAAACGGAGGTAGAGGGAGTGATGCGTGAGTAAAAGGAATTCTTTTTTTTCTTTTTTTTTTTCTTTTTTTTTTTTTTTTGCGGTAAAAGGATTCGGTAGAGGTGGTGCCTCACAAGGAACATAGGACTGAGACTGGGACAGGGAGCCGACGGGGTCGGAGACCGCGACGGGGACAGGCACGAGGATTGGGACGGACGGGAGAAAGATCCGCAGCAGGGGGCGTTGCGCATGGATCCAATCCAAGGAACGGGTGGAAGGGGGCATGAGGCATCAGCACTATATGCACAAGCACTCTATGCATCTGGAGCTCATAATCGTCACGATACATCCAAAATCTTCAGACTCCTCCGGATGCACCTGGTACAGAAAAGCGACCAGATTCATGTAGAATGCTGCGTCCTGGAGCGAGGCCTCGTATCCGGAGGCGCTGTGGCTCTTTCATGCGCGCTAAGAGAAGGAGCACAAACGATGAAGAAGAAGAGAAGAAGACGAGAAGAAGAAGAGAGGAGAAGACCAGAAGGAACAACCGTGGACGGGGAAGACGCCATGAAGGAGGCTTACCTCGCAGCTACACGGGGCCAACAGTCGAGAGTCGAGGGGTCAACAGTCGAGAGTCGAGGGGTGGTGGCGGGAAGGGTGGAGGAAGCTGTGGATTTGAGGGGAGGTTCGCCCTCCAGCAGCTTGAAAATTCGAATTGCGGATGAACGCCGCGCGTACTTTTCGTATTCTCCTCCCGAGGGGCAGTGCACCGTCCAGACCGCGGACAGCCGGCCGCCTGACCCAAATGTTTTTCTTTTGTCCGTGCTTTCATTCTGCTTGGGGTTATGTCGGATTTGCCCCTCTAATTTATTTGGAGCGATTCCGCTTTGGGTTACGTCGGATTTGCCCCTGCGATTTGGAAGGATTCCGCTTTGGGTTATCTCGGATTTGCCCCTCTAATTGGAACGCAGTGCCCCTAGAAGATGTGGGTACACCAGGGTTTACCCCTGAGAAATTTAAAGAGGCTGGGAAAAGTCCTTTTGGACTTAAATGCTTGCAATCTACCCCTGTTAGGGTGTTGCGCAAGTTGCATTCTGCCCCTAACAGGGCTATAGCACAAACTTGGCAAGCCCTGGACAGGGATATGGTGCAAAGATTTAAACCACAAGTTCATTTCCCAGCCATTTTTCTCTGATGCCTTGCATGCTGCCGCAACTGTCGACGGTCAGGAGCCGCAACTTTTGACAGTCAGCAACCGCAACTTTCGACGGTCAGCAACCGGAGCAAGATGGCTGGCGGTGCCAGCCACAACAAGGCCCAGACCGAATCTTTTTCTTTGGGGTGTAGGGCGCTTGGAGCCCAAGGAAAAATTGGCTCGGAATCCAAAATGGCATTTCACAAACTTTTAAAATTGTAGAGGGGTATTTCGCTCTGCCGAGGTATGTTGGGATCATCATCCCAAGTTGGGATGTCTGGTGTATTTTTGGGATATTTTTTGCACATGTGTGAACTTTTAAGGGTATTTCATAAATTTTCCCTTTTTTTACTTTTATCAGATATACCACATGTTTGCTTCCCAACCACGCAGCATGCATGCGGCCGCAAGTTTCAGAGGTACGCCTCTCGAAGCAAAATAAATGGCAGTGCCAAAGGAAAGAAGGTCAATGTCCGTTTATTTTCTTGCATGCATCGTGTTGCGAGGCTTGGCAAAAATAAAGTCAAAAGTATAAGTGTTTTTTTTTAACTACCCCTCCACTCAATGTTCGAAATTCATGGGGACCAGTAGCACATGTTCATGAGAGTTATCAGCAGTATAGTGTGGAGAACCACCACTATGATCAAAAAGAAAAATATATCGAATTGCCATCGCAATTTATATCAAGGTCGAAATGATTTTTATTTTTTTTTAAGATCATTAACAAAATTCACGGACACTTAAAAATTTTGATTTTTTTTTCATTTTTTGAAGTGCGGAAAATCCCTTATGTAAGGACCATTTTTCTTTGTAAAAATCACATTGGTTCACATGTGTCAGCGGAAAGATAACAAATATATCAAATCGTCATAACAAATTTTTTATTTTTTTATATCAAAAACCTAATTTACATCATTTTAAGATTTTATATTTTTAATGCATTCTTCTGGACGAAAAAAATCATTAAGTTTGCGTTTTTTTTTCTTTTCTTTTTGGACCTTCGCATCACTCATGCCTACAAATTCTCAACACCGCTTAGGTTTCGTATATCCATGAGAACAATGGTTTATACTATTCAAAACAGATAGTCACTTAACCTTAGTCAAAAGGTCGAGAAAGATACTAGCTTTTGATATATTATACAACAATTTTTTGTAGCGCCCACAACTTTGCAACAGAACCCTGTCGGGCGGGCATGTAAGTTATATATTTTATTTAACATTTTTTTTTAACTATTTCTACACGCATGTGTGTCATGCTTGGATAGAGGTCATAATAATCTTATTTGTATCGTTCCAGTTCTAACAGTTTCACTGATAAAGAATATTGTCTTAAGCGTATGAATGCGGTGTCTGTTCAAAGGTTCATAAAATCATGATTAACTTACTACTGTGCATTTTTATATAAATTCATTCAAATTCAAATGCTCAATTCAGTTTTTTTGTTTGTGGGACTATACCCTTAAAGGACTTTCACTTCTATTATTATATTAAATTCAATCGCCATTAAAATTTCGATCATGCTTCTTATATATATTACTTTTAAATTGAACTATAAACTTTAACGTTAAAATAAATAAACTAAACTACAAAAAATTTATATTTTAATATTAAAATGACTTTTAAATTTTAATCATGATTTAAATTTTATTTTTATTTTTATTTTAATAAATTATAGTTGTAGTAATTTAATATAGTTTTTCTAATAGATATTTTTTAATTCTATTATGAAATATAATATTTTAATAATAATGAAACTCATTAATTTAAAATAAAATATTTTATAGTAATGTATTTTAGTTGAAGTTATATTTTTTATCAACTTCAATTCAACGACCAACGAGGTTACTCTTCGGTGCTTTGCTGAACGGATAATTTGTGACTGACAATTACTACAGAGTTAATATAATATATTGTCGCCAAGTTGTGTCAGTCGTTAGTTTGAATCAACAATATTATCACCATTTTCCACCCTTACCAATCATTTGTGCCCCTTCCTTTCCTCATAAAACTTCTTTCTACATCTTACTATTTTCACTCCCGGCCTCCTTAAATCTAGTATCATTTATTTTGACAGAAAACTATCTTAAACCACCATTACCTTTCCCCTACATCGACCGCGAGCCTGTACCTATAAGTTTAAGAGGCGAGAAATTAAAAATAGGTTGATGATTAAATTTATAAACACCGGTTAACGACTGCCTAGTTTAATAATAATATGGTATAAGTTGTATCCCTATTACCCCAACACTATGAAAGGTACTGGTGGTTTAAAGCCATAAAACCAAATGATTGTCTTGCTTTTAAAAAAAATAAGACCTTTTTATTTTTTACTTATCCTTTATGCTTAAACGAGTGGTACAAATATTCCTCTCTAGTAGGTCTATCATTCGGCTGTTCATTTTATAGGTTAGGACCCGTTTCTCCTGAAAACATATTTTAGGGTCTCTTTCGCACATAAAAACAAACATATATTTAGGGTCATTACTCATTTTCTACTCATAACTGCATTATGATAATCTCTCAATCTCTTCAGTCTCTCATACCCACTAGATGGGCAACATTATCCTTTACTGAGATCTGCACATTTTTGTTTTGACTCTTGTAATGAGGCATCGAAATGAATTCCCCTCATAAAATTGCAGATCTATAAGAAGAATATAGTAAAACAAAAAAAAGGTTCAAAAACTTTGAAAGGGAACACATTTGGATCGTAAAATCGATATTTTTTATTGAATTGTTTACAAAAAAAAAAAAATTATCACAATGAGTTTTTATTGTGTTTTCATCCTTTCGACAAATTGTTGCTGTTTTTTATCAAGGTGGTTTTCATTCTTCTTGTTGTTTATTTAACTCAAAGTAACTTTTTAATTATTTTTATTATTTTTTCATTATTTCGACAAATTGCTGTTGTTTTTATCAAGGTGGTTTTCATTTTCCTTGCTGTTTATTTAACTCAAAACTACTTGTTCAGTTGTAAAGGATAAACTTAAAAACCATTTCACCCACTGCCTTCATTTTTTTAAATGTGTACTGTCATTTACATATAATAATAATATAAAAAAAAACCGTAGATAGATGTCTCCCCCCTTCCTTACTCCCTCAATGTTTCATGATATTTTTACTAGTCATAATAATTGTCGTTTATATGAAAACTTGATTACTAAACTTTTTATGTGCAAGACTTTTCACAAAATTAGTGTATATATTTTTTAACAAAAAAAATATATATATGTTTTTTTTCTTAGTTACCTGATCGGACGTCCGGGACCCCTCTGACCGTCCGGGATGTCCGACCAGACGTCTAGTCGGACGTTGGACCAAACAGGGTATGTCCGACCTACCGCAAAAAAAAAAAAAAAAAAAAAAAAAAAAAAAATTGTGTGGCTTTCGCCTTGCATAAGGTGTATGCCACCAACATTTTGGCTCGCTTGGGCAAGTAGAATAAACAATAAAAATCTTTAAAGATTCTAATACCCACGGATACCCCTCCTATCCCCACCAAAACCCCTTGTACCCCCCCCCTACCCCAAATACCACCCTATCACCAAATGCTAAAAAAAAGCTGAAAATTTTTGTGGGGGCTCTCTACGGCATGCGCAACACTTTTATTTTTTTTATTTTTTTTTTACTACCAAAACGCCGTCGTCCGAAAATTCGGACGACGGGGGTACCGGACGTATGGGGGAGACGTCCGGTCTCCAGACAATTGGTAACCTCGTTTTTTTCATATATAATTTATAATTATTATATAAATTACTATAATTTTTATTTTGTAATTCTTTAAATATATATATCTTTTACTATAAACCTTTGATACTCAAAGCTTGTTATATCGATTTTTTGCTACCTAATGTAAATTATCATAGAGCACATTTTATGTTAATTAAAATATCTTACTTAACAACTATGAAATACGTTGTACGTCGTACACCGACTCCGTCGTACAGTGGTTCGAGCACACGGTTGAACGGTTGTACGGACATTCGAACTAAGGGCATACTATGTTGCAAAGAACGCAAAAAAACTGGGTGTAAAGCATAAAAAATTATACAACCTTCTTTTTTTATTCACTTTGATTTAAAATAATAATAATAATGAATTAAAATGAGCAAAAAAAAAAAAAAAGTTAATCGTTTGACTAGGCTACCAGTCGGGCCGTCTGGGTCACCCTATTTTCTCGGGCGGCCTAGCCGTGCAAGGACCACGGAAGGCCCCATCTAAAAAAAAAAAAAAAATCCAAAAAATCCAAAAAACAAACTATGTTATGCAGAAAAATAAAATGAACAATTTTTGCCTTAGGGTCACTTCAAAATATATTGTCCGGCCGGGCAAGTGGACCCGGGCCACTCTGGTCGGCTAGTCAATTGATTAATTGATTTATGATTCAGTGGTTATTTGATTGATCGGTTCGTTGATGAATTGATGAATTGATTGATTTATGGGAGAAAGAAAAAAATGCGCTCGCCTAGTGCAAGTGACGACGGTCCTGTTGTA